TTGGACGCTTCCTGGGGCTGGGATGGGTGTGGGGATGGGAAATGGGGGATTTGGGAACCTCCTGGAACAAGGAATGGGTGTGGGAATGGGAAATGGGGGATTTGGGAACATCCTGGAACAGGGAATGGGTGTGGGAATGGGGGATTTGGGAACATCCTGGGGCTGGGATGGGTGTGGGGATGGGGGATTTGGGATTGGGGGAACCCGACAGCTGCAGCACCTGCGCATAGCCATCCTCCTGGGGCTGGAATGGGTGTGGGAATGGGAAATGGGGGACTGGGAACCTCCTGGAACAGGGAATGGGGGATTTGGGATTGGGGAATGGGGGATTTGGGAACCTCCTGGGGCTGGAATGGGTGTGGGGATGGGAAATGGGGGATTTGGGAACCTCCTGGGGCTGGAATGGGGGATTTGGGATTGGGGAATGGGGGACTTGGGAATCCTACAGCCACAGAACCCATGTGTAGCCGTCCTGGAACAGGGAATGGGTGTGGGAATGGGGGATCTGGGATTGGGGGAACCCGACAGCCGCAGGACCCGCGCGTAGCCGTCCTCCTGGGGCTGGAATGTGGGACTGGGAACCTCCTGGGACAGGGAATGGGGGATGTGGGGAAGGGGGATGGCGTGGGACCCCGCTGTGATCCCACAGCTGAAGGTGCTGGGGGGAGATGATCCCAAGGGTTCTGAGGTGTTCCCATGGATCTCCAGGTGTTCCCATGGACCTCGAGGTGTTCCCATGGATCTCCAGGTGTTCCCATGGATCTCCAGGTGTTCCCATGGATCTCCAGGTGTTCCCATGGACCTCGAGGTGTTCCCATGGATCTCAAGGTGATCCCACAGATCTCCAGGTGTTCCCATGGATCCCGAGGTGATCCCATGGATCCCGAGGTGATCCCATGGACCTCGAGGTGTTCCCATGGATCTCAAGGTGATCCCACGGATCTCCAGGTGTTCCCATGGATCCCGAGGTGTTCCCATGGACCTCGAGGTGTTCCCATGGATCCCGAGGTGATCCCATGGATCTCGAGGTGTTCCCATGGATCTCCAGGTGTTCCCATGGACCCCAAGGTGCTCCCACAGATCTCAAGACTCCACAGATGTGGACTCCCCTTGCTCCCAGCCCCACCTCCCAACCCACAGCACTCCACACCCTGTGCAGGCCGGGCCGGGCTCTGTCCCCCCGCCGTGCCCAGGCCCGCAGGAACCCCCTCCCGGTGCCGGTGCCGGTGCCGTGCCTCACCTGCCGCTGTTGCCCGGTGCCGTGGCGGGGGGGGGCGCCGCGGGGGGCCGGCGGGGCGCGGGGG